ATATCGCCTCCGAGTTGTTCACAGATATACTGCAAGTCATCGACAGATTGCATACCCGGGCGCCCCCTATAGTGCACCGCAATATAAACCCGCAGAATATTCTCGTTAAATACGATGAGAGCACCGGCAGTTTTGTGAAGTTAGGTGGGTTTGGTCTGGCGGTTGAGCACCGGGATGTCGATGAGACGCATACCCAGTGCGCGGGTGTCGACGCATATATGGCCCCTGAGGTGAAGAGGGGTCGGCGTTATAACCAGAAGTGCGATATGTATAGTCTGGGCGTTTTGGTTCAGGATCTGTTTAATGTAGATGTCAATCAAGTCTAGTGAGTATTATAAATGATTTTTTAAATGATCTTAAAATTAAAATTTTTATTTTATTGTATACTAGTTCAATTATAATTTAGTTATTACTAATTTTAAAATTATAGTTATTATTTAAAAAGTATTTTCATTAAAAAATATATAATTACAATATTATTACGATCTTTTCCAGTTAATTTATAATTTTATTTATTTGTATCATTAAACATAAATTCTAAAATTTTAATTACTGTTTGTACAGATTGTATAATATAAACATATTTTACCTGTATACTATGCAAAGTATTATAATATACTATACGTTACTTTATTTTCTATTAAAATGAAAATATTTATTTATATTCTCAGCAAAACTGACGACAAATTGAACGCAAACTACGAGAAAATCCGGAAACTGGTGTTACGTCTACTAAATAACGTGAGTTTCGGTCGACCCTCGGCTCACGACCTACTCGTCAGGCGCCAGGAGTGGGCCCTCCCTTACGGTGCCGTTCGCACCGGTATTACGCATACAATGGACGCAAACATTACATACGATATTAACACACAATTTGTTGATTACTTATTGCAAAACAAATTCAAAATTAATGACAAATAAATTTATATATCATATTCTAAAATCGTTCTAAATTAGCCTTGATAATATAATTGTTTTTGTTATGAACGAATTTATACTAGTTTATTAATTAGTTTGTGCTTTTAATAAATTTGTTAAACTTAATTTATTTTAATGAAATAAACACGATACTTTACAAAAATTCAATTTCGAATAATATTGATTTTTATCTAATTATAAATTTATTTTAACTTTCATTTGGGGTTACGAGTTCCTAGCTTATTATTTTATAATAAGTAAACTAATAGGTTTATTGAAATAATTAGTCTTAAACTTATATTTATATTTAATAAATCTTCACATTACGTTATATAAACTACTTAATTAGTATAATTAATTGTATTTAAACCATATTTAATATTAATGATACAATTAATGTTAACTGTAAGTGAATTGAAAAACATTTATATAAACTCTACAACTTTTCATTTTAAGTATTATAAATCCTGTACATTAATTATTATTTTTAACTGTTACCTTTGATAACTAATTTTATAACTAACTAGTTTAAAATTTAATTTAGAATTTAATCTGTCTCATAATCATATAATTTTTATTAATCATATAATTTAAGAATTTAATGTACAACTGTAAAAAAGACTAAATATTAAGATTATTAAAAAAATTTACATTAATTAAATAAATTAACTAAAACTGTAAACTAATTAGGAAAAATTGCTTTTAACAATACATTGATTACAAGTAAGAAATTATGGTCACAAAACCGGCCATTTATTTTAATTTATCTATTTGTAATAATCAGAGCTCTCATTTCAAGGAATTTTAAGTTAAAAGTGAGGTTTACATCACGTAAAAAAATTTTGGTAAATATAATATGTTGAATTATGTAAAACTTTATTACATCTTCTAACAAACAATTACATTAT